GAAACCATTATTATCATGACATTAACCTATAAAAATAGGCGTATCACGAGGCCCTTTCGTCTCGCGCGTTTCGGTGATGACGGTGAAAACCTCTGACACATGCAGCTCCCGGAGACGGTCACAGCTTGTCTGTAAGCGGATGCCGGGAGCAGACAAGCCCGTCAGGGCGCGTCAGCCCACGTTTTATTGAATAAACAGTAGCAGCGGGGTATCTCATTTGGATGAGTTTTTTTCCAAGAAACTGTAAACTACAAAATTAAAGCTCCATTTTTGTTTAGCATGCATTGAAATTTTCAGACAAATCAAAGAATTCTGGAATACCTTTGTAGGCATCAGTGCGTTTTGAAAGCGTTAGACCTGTAAGCTCTGTTTAAAGGCGCATATTTCCAGAACTACGGTAGTTATGAAAAATGTTGTTCAATGCAAAATTGAAGCTCTTCATTTGCTTTGTACACTCTTAATCTTTCAGCTTCATATAGCAAAATCTAGCATAAAACTTGATAATATTAGTAAAAGATAATCCCATATATATATATATATATCAAAAAACGAATGATACATAAAAAATAAATTAAACAAGACAGTTTTAGAAACTCAACAATCACAAAAGTTGTTCGACAAACAACGAAATTCGATACTTCTCAAAGTCTATATGAACGGGTATTAAGTTATCAAATGATGTCCTTGCGATCGTTAGAGTATCGTCATTGCGTTCGTGATCCTGGAAATGTCGAGCGATCGCATTCAAAGGAAGTGAGGTGTCCACCTGGATACCGTAGTCGTCAGTGAGATTTCGTAGCAAGACCTGAAAAGAATGATGATTTATTATTATACTTTGGTCGAGAAATTTTGGCGGGTATTGTATCCTTCAAAAAATTTCAGGGTACCTAGAAGAGCCCTCTTAATTTTGACCCGAATTATCTCGGTTCTTGTGAACGATAACAACAGGTGGTCAACTAGCAAAATGTTCTTGATACCATGATTAACATTTTGTTAGTTTAGCACTTTTTGACATCTCTTACAGGGACCAAGGTAAATCGGCTCAAAGTTAAGGGCCCTACGCGGTGGATGAAATGCGACCGCGTAGCTAGCCTAGATTAAAGTGGTCCGATTTTTACATTAACAAATGTAAAATTTAACGATGCAGATTTTTAGGTATTGTTTGGTTCTCATAGCCAGTTACAAATGACAAAAAAACTCAAAAAAATAGGTCAAATTAGTCCGATTGTTTTCGAAAACTTCATTTTCGGAAAACTTTGCTTCAAAGGGAAATAACTTTTCAGAATATGGATTTTCCAAAATGTGATCATTTACAAAACTGGAGCTCTGATTTTGTTATATACTCTCGTCTATTTTCAGAACCACCAGACAACTCTGACCTACTTTCGTAGGGCCTTTTTTCAAAGTCCCCCTTCCCCCACTGCTCCTCCCTTACCGCTAATGCTGCATCAATCTCAGCAATACTCATTGATTTGACTTGGACTTCCAAGAAGTGCGTAAACTGTTGCCAATCCTTCATAAGCAAATCATCTCGAATATCCAAAGTCATCCTTTGACGCCACTGATCCATCGAAGTAATCGTATCGTTCATAAACATCTTCAATCTTCCTCCTATTTTAGTTTGTTTGAGCCGTTCGTATTTTTCTCGATACTTCTCGCTATTCACCACTTCCTTGTCATCCCATACTCGAAGTGCCAACGTGGCCAGGTTCTCCGTTATCAGATGTTTCAAAATGAACCATAACGCATGAGAGTCTTGCCATTCCTCACTGTCCGGATCCTGGAATCGTTTCTCTCTAGTGAACATGAATGTCAGCTTTTGAACTGGAATCGTTTCAAGACACTTTTTAGCAGATGCTTGAAAAAATTCGTCAAACACTTCTAATGCAGAAATATCGGGGAATTCCAGAGGGTGCGTCTTGCGCCATGTGTCAAGGGTAAACTCCAACTCATCCAATATACCCGAGTGTCTCCTTATGAGAAATGTCAAGTCAGAAGCCGCCACAAAACATGGCATTCGATTCTTAACAACTGTTTTGTATAGGACACCGGCTTTCGGGCAATCTTGTTCATTCCAATAGTAGGCAATGCAGGTATCGGGTCCTTTTGGAAAGTAGATTATACGACCCCATTCGCGTTTTGTTCTTATGTAGATGCGAAGCTCCTTGTTTGGATAAATCGTCACTTTCAATTTTTCCATTTGAATTTCTATCGTTGTTGTTGTTTTTGTTCGCTCTGAGCACCTCTTGGAGAGTCGTCGACAGAACATTCTGGAATTTAATACTTCGTGATAAGGCACTCAAAATGATGAGGACCACTTATTTTAAAGCTAGGAGTGTAAGCTCGTGGCCCGAAATTCATAGACGAATTTTTCGAAAATAGATATTCTAATTGTTTTCATTGAAATTTAGCAAACTTCAAGCTTTTACAATAGTAACTCAAAAGTGTCCGATAATCCTGAAAATTTCAGAGTATATGAAAAAAATAGAGCTTTATTTTAGTAATTAGCACATTTTTGATACTAACGCGCCCTAACGAAATATACTGCTTGTAACTGACCAAGTACCAAAACTGAGTTGAGATTGGTGAGAAGCAGTTTATCCTAAAAGGTGTCCACTACAAAATTGAAGCTCTTTTTTTTGTTTAATATATTCTGTAATTTTCAGTCTTGTCCTACAGAATCGGCCATACTTTTAGACATTCAAAATTGAACAATTTTAGCAAAACTACCCACTAAAAGAAGGATCTTGCGCTTTGAAGTTAATTATCTCGGTTCCTCTAAAATCTATCAAAAAATAGTCAACTGATAAAATGTTTGTCATAATATCATCAACATTTTATTAGTTAACAAACTTTTGATATCTGTCTCAAGAGCCGAGATAATTGAGCTCAAATATGAAAGAACGAAAGATTTGGTCGATGTCAATCTACTCACAGCCCTGGTCTGCGACCAGGCGCGGCCTCGTTTCCAAAAGCCTAGCCAGAAACTTCAAAACTCACAATTGCAATATGTTGCCGACTTTTTCTTGAAGGATATTCTCAATGCTAGCAAAGAACTCATCAGCAAATTCCTCATAAAAATCTCGGACCATGGTGAGTCTATATCTATCCGATTCGTTATCCTCAAACTCCTCAAATGGCTCTTCACAAAAGAAACAACATCGTTCTCTTGGCAGATTCCCAATCCTCACTCTCGGTTGAACTTGCTCAACTAAATCGTATTTAAGAGTCGAAGTCCATCTAACCAAGTATTCATGAGCCAGACGGATGGGAACCCTTTTTTTGAATTTGTTGAGCAGGAAGTTTCTCATCTTCAAGTGGTCTTCATTCCCATTCCAAACGTGGACTGAAACCTCATTCGTCGTAAATTCCATCACAATCGGTTTTTGGAAATAACGTTCTAGAATCATATTGATCCTTTCAGGAAAGCCTCCCACATGATGAATGTTCGTTTCAGGATATGCGCGATGAATTCCAGGCAGATTCATTGGTTCCTCAACGGTTATTTGGTATTCGCGTCGTGGTGGAAAATGTTTGAATATCTGAAACAGTTCTGATCTCATCGATTTCAGATAGTATCTTTGTCTTTTCACACATCCTCGAAACATGATTTTCAATATTTTCTCACGAGTACTACCGAAAAAATATTTTCGAAAAAACTTGGACTACTTTCAAAGAGCTTTAAATTTGATCAAGTTTCACTGGAAATGGAAAAATGCGATTTTTTTTTCTTTATAAGGGCTTACCAATCTCGCTTGACGAACTTCCCGCACAGAAAACGAAAAAAGATTGATCCTTTGAAGATGAGTGAACCTAGCCCAATCTTTGAAAACATACAGGTCCCGTATATCCAAAGTTTCCAATCTCTTCCATTGCTCCGTTACCAAAATCGTCGGTCTCATAATGATCATATTGCACATGTCACACTTTTGTAAAAGCTTTAAAAGTGTTAATATATGCTGCCATCCTGTCACAACATGTGTATCATCCCATACTCGAAGTGCCAGACAGTCAAGGGTGCCCGGTTCCAGATACTTCAGAATACACATCAGATTTTCTGAATCCAAACAATCCTCGCAATCAATATCTTTGAATCTTTGTTCTCTGGTGAACATGAAATTAAGGCACTGTGTTTTGACTTGGTATGGGTGAACGTAGTCGCGTAGAATGGAATCAATAATGGAATACACTCCGAGGTTGGGAAACAATTTCCGATCGTTTTTCTCGTATGGCTTGATACGGAACTTCAATTCCTCTAATGGTTGTTCGAGTCTCTGGAGAATAAATGCCAGATCAAACGCTGCGATATCCTTATGATTCCGATTATCGATTCGTGTTAAGTTCCGTCCATTGTAAGAAACGAGAACACTTCTGCGATGTTGTAGGTATAAAATAGAAGTTGACAAGTCCTCTCTCTCCTCGGTTATATCGATTCGTGCCCATTGCTCATCGACAACACTAGCGAATTCGAATTTCACTCTTTCGAGACGGATTTCGAACCAGTTGGCGAGTTCTGAGAAGGCTCTTGTGATTCTTCGAAGAGTTATTCTGGAATTTTGGATGGTTTTTGCATGATGAAGCCTAAGGATGCCTAAGGAAACCTGAGGTAGTCACAGAAAGTTTGAGAATGATTTAGGGATCCTAAGAAAGCCTGAGGAAGCCTAAGGAAGTTTAATGAAAATTAAGGAAGCTTGACAAGGCTTGACTAGTATTATGCTTGTCTGAGAAAAAAAGGTTAGAGAGTATTTTTTGCAGTCTGAATACGGTATCGATATCGAAGCGGAGAACCTAAATAGCACACAAACGGTGGAGACGCAGACACTTTTTCTCTGCGTCTCAACCTTTTTTTTCTCAGACAAGCATAATAGTGAGCAAGTAGTGAAAAATCTTAAGGAAGTTTGAGGTAGCCCATGACAGCGTAGGAAGGCAAAAAATACTTCATTAAGCTTTTTTAGTCGTCTTTGAGCTGTCGAAAACTTTCGTATGCTGCCTTAGGCTTCTGTAAGCTTCAATGAGCCTTTGTAAGCTTCCTTAAGCTCTCATAGGCTTGGATAGGTTTTGGATAGGTTTTGATGGGTGTATATAGGCTTCCCTATATTTTCTCAGGTTTTCTTAAGCATCTTCAGGCTACCTTAGGCTCCCTTACGCATCATTAGGCTCCTTTCAGCGTCAAACTCACAATTGCAAGATATCGGTCATCCTTTTCAGCACCTTCTCGCCATTTTCTTTTAATTTATTGAATTTCTCCAGCGCAAATTCATTGTACAAATCTCGAATATTTGTCAAATAGTACCGATCTTCATCATCTTCCCGACTCGCATAATTCTCAATCCGGTCGGAAAATCTCGGCGGTCCACTTCCTTCTGCTCGCTCATAAGCGACAAAGTCAGGCTCTGAAAATTGCTCATTTTTTGTGTTCAAAAGTATAAAGAATCTTACCTGGTTCTGGCTCATCAGCGTCTATTGGAATCGCCCTGCCTCTAAGTATCGGCAACAGATCAGAATAGGCTTGATCGATGGAATCGCCTGCGTTGAAACGTTCGAGAAGGAAGTGTCTAACTTGTTCGTCCATTGGATGGACTGGAAATTTGAAGACAAACGGACAAGTGAGAAAGGAAAAAATCGAAAAGAAGAAAAAACAAAGGAAATGATGATAAAACAAATCTATTGTGCCGATAATGAGCGCGCATTTGGGTAGATCAAAAGTCAATTTTTTTTGAGTTTTCAAAAAATGTTTTTACGTTTTCAGTTTATTCTGTTTTTGACTGTTTTCAATTTATTCAAATCTCAGGACAAATAGCAAACCTTCCACTCACAAAAAGGGTCAGTTGCTAACGTTTGTTAGAAAAATACAAGGATTATTCCAAGACTTATATCTCAAAAGCTGAAATAACTGTACAAAACTGTAGTGTTAAAAATTTTAAACATTTTTGTAGTTGAGAACTTTTTTTGTATTTCTTTCAGTTTTGGAGATACACTGGTTCCAAAGGTGAGGAAAATTTAGAAAAAAAAATAATTTTACTGTTTTCCATTCCTTTGATCTACATTGAACTAAAAAAAAACAAATGTTGTTTTTGCTTATATTGCTGATAGATAGAAGGATTCATAAACTTTTTTTTGCAGAATTCTCTACTAGATAAATTCAAAAATCTTCCAAAAATGCGAATGCGCTTCTTTGCACTCAATTTAGCCGCTAAGAAGACCGTGCGGGAAAATGAATTATTTGGGCATCCATTAGAATTTTCTTTTTTTCCGAAAGTTTTTTCACAGTCTGATCCCTTCCAAATAAAGTTTTAATTTCATTCTGAATTCACCAATTACAGGAAAATCAGACTTGCAAATGCGCTCCTCTGCACCACTCAATTTGCCGCCAATATGCAAAACCATTGATTTTTCTTTGTCTTGTGGACCCCTCTCCATTCCCCTTCGACTGTCCCCTCTCCAACCTGTTTTCATTTTATTGATTTTTAGTTTGAAGAATATGCTTTCCCTTTTTATTTCCTTTCTTTTAATTCTCTTGTTTTATATTTTTCCTTCTCCAGATGACTTATACCCGATTCAACACGTCTCAATGTAAAGTCCTCGAGGGTCTTTACAAGAAGAGTCCAAAACCGTCAGTGGAGGAGAGAAACAAGTTGGCCAAAATGTTTCGAATCGATTTTTCAAAAGTGAGTTTTTCAAAATTACAGTATTTTTCGGTTGATTTTCGATTAATTTGGCCTTTTCCGCAGCCTGGAGCTCATCTGTCAAGTTTCCAATCATTTTGAACGTTTTGAAGAATGTAGAACAGGCCTAGATTGAACTGCATTCACAGAATTTTTTTTTGAAAATTTCTAGTTTTTTTTAGATATTTACCGATTTCCAGGGAAATTTTCCAAGTGTTCGGAAACTTGACAGCCAAGCTCTAGACTTTTGAAAATGATGCAAATGGCTGCAAACCAATTACTTTCAATTCCATTTGAGAACTGTAAATTTTTCAGATCACACGTTGGTTTGAAAGACGGAATAACAAGGAGAAGGCTGAGAAGAAGATTTCTGATGATGAGCTGAAAGAGCAAGAGGATCCAGCTGATGATGTTGTTCGTGGCAAACCACCTCCCCCTCAACATCCTCAACCTCAAGATCTGAACGATTTTCAACCGAAGAATCACAGTGGAAAGAGTAGAACGAGTGATGCTCCAAAAGAGAATCAGATGAATGTGGTCCATAAGAGTTTGGAGGAATCTCAAAAAGGAGCTCGAGAATCTGAGGAAGACGTCGTTGAAATTAAAAAAGAAGTCCCTGAGCAGAATTCTATGAATCTTTATCGAGAGCCTAAGCTGGAAGAAATTAAGGATGTCCCAGCACCATTTTGGACATATCCCCCACACAATGGACCAATCAAGTATCCTGTCGCTGCTCATAAGGAAGACCAACGAAAATATTCCGCTTTGATTCAAAAAATCCGCAGCCAATTAGGTCCACAAAGAACTCAAAATCCTGCTAAGAATTACTATACCAATCCGTATCCCACGTTTACGCCTGGATCAAATCGACAGTCTCTTGGAGAAAACGTTCAATTCAATTCATATGTCTCTCCAAGACCATCTACTTCACAAGAGGCCACATTTTCCAGTGCATCCAACGCAGAACGATCTTCAGTTGTTACACCTTCTCTTGGGCCCATTCGGAACAAAGTGAATCATTCGAACCAAATCCGATCAGCAATTTATGGGAAGCCAAGAAATTATGGACAATCTCATCCTTATGCGCTTCATCCATTATCCAATGAGGAAACTGAGAATGTCCAAAGAGTGATGGATGCTCAAAAGACAAGATGTTCAGCTGTAATCAAGAAGGAATTTGCTGGCACATCCACCAACGATTCTAGACGCCTTTCATCGACTACTTCTTCCGGATCACATGCTTCCTCTTCAGGAATCAGTAGCTCTAATACTACTGTATCGATTCGATCTCCATCTTCTAGACCATCTGGATCTTCCACGAAGAGCACCAATGAGCCTACTTCTGCTGCTACTTCTGTATCACTTGGATCTCCATCTTCTGGCCCAATGCCAACACCATCGCCTGTTTTACCGTCGGAACGAGTTTTCTCAAATTCTCATCGAGCCCAAGAATTGCCACTGTCGACACCATCACCAGCAGCTTCTAAGATCCCTGCACCTTTTGAAGTGTTGACTGTGAATAAGCCAGGACCAGATAATAAGGCTCCAGAAGTGTCTTGTGATGTCGAATCTCTGGCAACATCTCCTGGAAAAGTCAAGACTACCGAACCAATCAAGTTGGATCAGAAGGAAGATTCTGCTACAGAAAAGAAGAATCTATCATTCAAATTGATGAAGCCCGGCGAAAACAACTTAATGCGGATCGAATTTCGAATTTCGCGCCGTTCTTCAAGACAACGTTTTTACCGTTTAGCATGTCGACGATTTATACGGCGTGGAGCGTAAGTTCTTTTGATTTCAAAACATTCAAAAAGTCTAAAATTTCAGAGTCAAGAAGTGCAGGAATTTTTGTGTCAATTTCTCAAGCCAGCTGCTATGGAGACCCTTAAAAATCTAAAAGGTCCGGATTTGGAGAAAATCCGTTTTGACGATAGAGCATTCTTCAATCAATTGAGAAAGAATGGAGATGGACTGAGCTGGTTGGAATATTTGAGTATTGAGGGTCAGATCAATGAAATCAAGAGCTACAACCACAAAATGGCCATGTTTAGGGCATCGATGTGATATTTTGAGCCCCATTCCACTGAAAAATGAATTCCTAGTCATTTCAAATCCCTATGTTTTTCCCCCAAATCTATTTTACCCTTTATTTTGATACTGAAAGCACTTTCACAAATTTTTATATTTTTTTTGCAGTTTCATTGTTTCCAAATAAATTTTGATTCCAATTATCTTACTTCTTAAATTCTTAAAAAATTAAACTTTGAAGTTTTAGGCTTTGAAACGAATAAAGCTGAAAATAGCTGAAAAGATTAAAGATTCCCTGTAATACTTCTGAAGTTGGTTTCTTGGCTACTGCATCCATGACGGCTACACCGTGTATCCGTAGTTTATTTGATACCAGCAGATTCCTCTATCATCTAGTTCATCTAGTTCAAAGTTCATCTAGTTTTTCGGTGATCCGTCTGAGTTTGCCACGTCACTCGGCCCTTTCGCCTCATTCAAATTGATGGTGTCATTCGCCAACATCTTAATGCTGCATCATTATTTTTTCGCCATTTTTCAAGACCACTTTTTTGCCATCGAAAAATTGGATTTCTAGTCATTCCAGATCCCCATGTATTTCACCAAATTTATGTTGCCCTTTATTTTGATACTGAAAGCACTTTCTAGTTTTGTTCACTTTTTTACAATTTCATTGTTTCCAAATAAATGTTGATTTCAGTTTTCAATTCAATGTATCCATATGTAGAACCAAACATCCCAATTTTCCCATTTTCGGGTTTTTTTTCTGTTTCAATCGCTCTAGTTATAATAATTCAGAACGATGATGTTACTACGTTCACCAGAAAATCAAAAATGGGATTATTTCCGTTTTCGTGTTTGCACAACAATAAGAAAAAATAAATCTTTCCCTTTCCGCATTTTTTCTTTAATATACTTTTTTTTGTCATTTGAAGACCTTCCTCCTTTTTGTCAGCAGGGGGTATTAGCAGATGGGAGCTATTAGACTGACTAATTTACCTGACTAATTAGACATAGATTATGATGATCTCGGTCAAGCTACATAAAGGGGGCTTACGCGCCTTTAATGTTAAAAGCAGGTGCAATTTTAATGGACGTTATGTCAGAGCCAACATATTCATTTTCTGAAAACCCCTAATCACATTTTCACTCTAATTAGCTTCAGTCAAAAATGCCCGGGCGCCGAATACCCAACGAGCACGTGGCGTTTCTCATGAGCTCGTATCGAACGGACCTGCGACCAAAAATGCAGCAAAGGAGAGCGATTGCTGGAGCACTGGGAATGAACACGGAGCAGGTGAGCCCATATATTTGATAGCATACAAAAAAGTCTACCACTTTTTGTAGTTTTAATTCTTATTTGTGTATAATGAAATGTTCCGATTCCTTATCACCATATTACAGGTAGTCAACTGGTTCAAAAAGCAGCATCTACGAGAGACTCGCAAAGCAGCAGGACAGCTAGCTAATTGCATGTCCACAAGTGCGCAATATGCAGAGTTGAGGCAGAAATTTGAAGCCAATCCACGGCCGAAGTGCAAGGAGATTATCCGAAAAAGAAGCAATACATTTTCCAAATCATGTTGTACCGATTTTCCGTTTTCAACGCTAACAGTAAGGATCCTCACACTTTGACCCAAATTATCTCGATCCATTTGAAATATATCAAAAACGTATTATATTGCAAATATTATTTTAAACACTTTTTCAGTTGAACGTTTTCTGATATCATTTAAGGGAACCGAGATAATCAGGGTCAAAGTTGAGCTACACTTCTACTACACCCTCGTTTTTAACCACTCTCATCTTTTCTGCACCTCTATCTCCCTCATAGTTGACCCCCCACAAAACAATGAGTACCCATCTATTAAAATAATGTTTCTCTATTTCTCTCCGATTCGCTTTATGTCTCATCTGTATTATCTGATTGCGCGAGCGCAGTATGTGTGTGTGTGTGTTCTTGCCACCTGCTACTTGTTGCGACATTCCCCTTTTTAGCTAACTAGGTCACAAAAAAATGAAGCAGGGAATAGAGGAAGGAGGAATATATGAGCAAATGAGCAATAGAAAACCGGCATTCGATTCAAACAGAGCGCCAAAAAATTGAGACTAGTGCGATGGAGCGCGCTTGCTCTGCTTCATTTATTGTGGCCTAGAAATTTGGAGTTTTGATGTGTTGAAATTCACAGAGGGTATCATTCCAATGTTAACAGCAGAATTGTGAAAATTTTCAAAAACTTTTTTTCAACATTTCCTGTTTCATCAACTTTCCAAGTTTAACCATTTTCGAACTTATACTGATGGTCCGAAGCCAATTGCTTCTAGTAACTATTCCTAAAATCCATGATTTCTCATCCTTGCTAAAATTTTCCTACCCTGCTTTTTCCCCATTCTTAAGACCTTCTGTTCCCCCAAACCATTCTCCCTCATAGATCACGACCCGTTCCACCACCAACAAAGAAAAAAAACGAGGTGGTTTTTGTGTCTGCCTCTCTTCTTTCTCGCTATCTGATCACGCGCTGTGAACGTCTGTGTTGTTTTTCCCCCACTTTTTGGCACAGTGCCAAGAGGAGGAAAATTCCAAGCAAACATGTCTTAAAGGAGGCGAGACAGCAAAAATTTTGGGGGACAGTTCGGGGGACGAAATCGCACCGCGCTTATGTAGACCATCGGTTGTCAGGCGCCTTCGCGCCCCCGTAGCTCAGCCGGTAGCGGCGCTGTACCCCTGAGCTGCCTGTCATGAGTTCAACCCCTCATGGGGGTTCTCTATGCAAAATATCAGGAAAACTTTTTTTTTGGTGTCTGGCCTCCTTTAAGGAAGATTTTTTTTGAATGTTCCTGTAAATCTGAAGACCTGATAACGCATTGTTGGTTTTATAATTATTTATTGAGATTTCGTTATATACAGATACCAGTAGAGTATTTAGTACCATTCGGCACAGGGTTAGGGAGGTATAGACAACTACAACTAGCGTAGCTTAGAGATCCTGATACAGGGGATGTAGGGGGTTATATTAAAAAAAGCAAAAAAAGATTTAAGCCTTCTTTGGAGCAGCTGGAGCCTTGGCGGCCTTCTTTGGAGCGGCTTTCTTGGCTGGCGACTTGGCGGCTTTCTTTGCAACTGGTTTCGACACCTTCTTTGGCGATTTCACCTTCTTGACCTTGGATGCAGTGGTGGCCTTCTTGGCAGCTGGCTTCTTGGCGGCCTTCTTCTCTCCGGTGGCGGCCTTCTTGGCGGCTGGCTTCTTGGCGGCAGCTGGCTTGGCGACGGCGGCTTTCTCTGGAACGCGGAATCTTCCATTAGCTCCAGTTCCGGCGGATTGGACAAGGGCCTTGCTGACGACTCCCTTCTTGAGGGTTTGGCGGAGGTGAGAGTTGATCTGTAAGAGGAGGAATTGTTCAAAAAAGTTCTTGAATTGGATTTTAGAAAGCCGGAGTTTTAAGCCAAAATCTAACTAAAAGTAAGAAAATAAATTTACCTGGATGACATTCTCTCCCAACTTGAAATGGCTGGAGATGTACTTCAAGATGGCTTGCTTGGAAGCTCCCTTGCGATCCTTCAAGTTCTTGATGGCGTCCTTAACCATGTTGATGTATGGTGGATGGGCAGATGGAGTCTTGGCTTTGGCGATTTTTGGGGCTTTTGGAGCCTTGGCGGCCTTTGGGGCAGCGGCGGCTGGGGTAGCAACGACGGCGTCGGACATTTTAGAAGAGAGAGAGACACTTGGAAAGTGATGGTTTCCATCGGAGACCCTCGTTTCTCTTTTATACCCCCTCCACCACCCTGCGGGGACACATCGCACACACGCCCCTCGCGACGCCGAATAGCACACGCGGCGCAAAAACGATTATGAGCTGAATTTCGCTATTATTCCTATGTTAAAAGCATCTTTTTGTATATTTTTTTGGTTAAACTTGTAGACGGAGAAATTTCCAATAACATGTCAAAAATCCGGTCAAAAACGGTTTAGAATAAGTTAGTGGCAAAGGCTCAAAGTGGGGGAACCGACTTTGGTCCGAGCTAGCTTCCTTTGTCCGCGCTTATCTTCTTGAGTTGATAAGCTATCATTTTAAACTTTATATCACTGGCAAGCCAGTAAAGTTTCCTTCAAAAATATATAACTTTTACCTAGATTCCATACACTCTTCCAGTTGAGAAGCTGGCTAAAGTGAAAGCCAAATTCTTACTCACAACTTTGACTAGAAATATCTCGCGATTTTCAGCGATGACCCTTAACTTTTTTGGTATCAAAAGATGCGAAAGTTATCTAGCTTTCATTTAAGCTTAACATCGTAAGAATCCTCAAACTCTTTCCCAAGTTATTAAGTTTTTAGTCCCGCCACCCCCATGAGAATTCCGCGGGGTTGTTTTCGACTTCCGAACTTGTTAGTCACATGGATACCCTTATTTGAGTGCGAGAAAAACTAAAAACAAATTCTACCTAAATTGACATCTAGGACTTCGAAAAAGGTGTTTAAAAAGTCCAAAAGTTTGATATGAGCAAGATATGATAAGATTTGAGGAGTGTGGTTTGGTCACGAGGGGTGTTCGTTTTTCAAGAAATCTATAGCTCGATGGGAAGGGTATAATTAAGAAAGTGTGATAAAAATAGTAAGAAAATAAGCTTTTTCTCTATTTCAAAGAATTGGAAAGTGTGTAGCAAGTTGCCCAAATTTGATGTTATTCGCATTCATCGAAATTTTGAAAATCAGAAGTTACTAAATTTTTTTGGATTTCAAAACACATGTATCTACTGGAAAAAGCATGGTTTTTATGTTGCAAAATAATTTCTGCACATTTTGAAACATCATTTTTTAAAGAATAAAATCGCTGTTTTACGGTTTCTGTAAAATTGGCGTTTTTTAAATGTATCCATTAGTATTTCTCCTATACCTAATTTTACAAATTTCAATAGTAATCTCCTTTATGACATATTTTATGGTTTTTTTAAGAAGTGAACCTCATTTCTTCGTTCAAATCGTTCGTACAACTTCAACACCGTGTATCTCAAAAATACCGGAACAGCTATCAAAAAATTACCAACTACAAAATTGTATAACACACAGCTCTGCAAATTTCTCTAGTTAGTCTCGTTTTTCTAGCTTTAAAGGGGTTGGAGATACAAACGACTTAAGAAATCAACATTTTTCCTCGTGTAGCTTCCACCCATTTTTACACATTTTTGTAATTGCTCCCATGTTTCTAGCTTCAGGGGTTTTGGAGATATAAGCGATTGAAGAAGTCAGTTTTTTTTCTCGTGTTGCCGCTAGCTGCGACCCCCCCCCCTCTTTTCACTCCTGCTGTGCTTTGTTTCTGCAGCCTGTGCTTTTTAGGTCGTATCTTCAAAACCATGAGAGTTATCAAATTGTTTTCAACTACAAAGTTGTAAAGCACAAAATTGTTCATATTTTTGCAGTTGGTTCCATTTTTCTAGCTTCAATAGTTTTAGAGATACGACCGTTCCTATGAAGTGCTTTCCCTCTTTCTCCTGTTCTTTCTCTTCTTTTACTACTACTACCCATTTTTCTTCTCTTTCCTCTTCTTCTTTTTGTCTTTCTTTTTTTACCCCTCGTTGCTGCCACCTCCCCAACGTGCATCGTCATTTTCCTTTCCCTCTTTTCCGTCTCTGTAACATCCTGGTCACTCTCGCATTTTCGATGCTAGGTACGGTTGACAAGGGTGTTTGCGGATTGCGGACCGAGTGCGCGAATGTGAAAATTTCCAATGAAAACGTTACATCTTTCCTAAGCCTTTATACATCGAATTTCTCAGCACATATCAGTTCTTGAACCTATTTTTCGGGTCCAAAAGTCTTGCTTACGTTAATTTCAATCCCAAATTTTATATTTTCCCACTAATCACCTTGATATTTCAGTTCAAACGTGTTTGAATCTATTTTTCATGTTATGCAATCTCGACTACGCCAATTTTGACATCTTTGAATTTTCAATTTAATCCTTATCCCAATCAACCCATTTTTTCAGCTCAAATGTCTCCAACCCCACTCTTCGCTGTCGGTGAGCTCGTCGGATGTGTTCACGGCAATCACAACGAGGTTTATGATGCCAAGATCACCGCCATCAGTGGGAAGAAAGGAGTGGAAGTCTACCATGTTCATTTTATGGGATGGAACGTTCGACATGACATCACTATTCCAGTAGGAAAAGAAGATGGAGTTTTGATGAAGAGGGACCAGGAGGAAGTGCCGAAGAAAAAGATCAGAAAGAGCACAGGAAAGATCACTGCTCCGAAAAAGCAAGCTTCGGAAGACCATCAGATGGAGGACGACGAGGAAGAGCGCATGGCACAGGTTCGGCTTCGTCTTCACAAGCCAATGGTCCCAATGTCCTACGAAGTTCCTCGGTCTCTTGCCATGCCCCTCGTAGCTGATATGAAGCTGGTCAAGAATGGATTCTTGACGAAGTCACCAGCTAAGATCCCTCTGGATAAGATTGTCGAGGACGTAAGTTCGCTCGATTGAAAATTCAAATTTTATTATTGTTTTTTCAGTACCTCGCCAGCCTTCCAAAGGCAACCGCGGAGGAACAGGAGAATCATTCATTCGCGGATCTGAGCACGAGGTTCATTGTGGATTTCTTCAATGAGTGGCTAGGGTAAGCTACTTTTTTTGGAAGCTTTGAAAAAATTAATATTTTCCAGCTCTGGCCTCCTGTACGAGACCGAACGCTCCCACTACAACCTCCAAATCAAGCAGGCCAAGAAAGCCAAGGTCATCGAGGATTCTGAAAACGATTCTGTCAACTTTCGCGCTTCTGGTCACTATGGGCTCATCCATTTGCTCCGTCTCTTCTCGAAGCTTCCGGATTTCTTGGAGCTCGATAGTCAATATCAAGTGGAGGTAAAGATTCTTCTAGTTTGAAGATAATATAGTAACATTCTGAATTTCAGTTGCTCAACAAGTGGGTCACGAAGTTTGCCGAGTTCTTGGAGAGCAACCTGAACCGCTACTACGATCCGTTGGCAGACTACGAGCCCAAGATCACCAAGGAAGAGCTCATCGAAATCGTAAATTCTCGTGTTTAGATTTTCAAAATCCCAGTGTCCACAGGTTCAGAAGGTACATGAGTCCTTCAGGTATAGCGTTATATCCAAAGTCCCATGAAACCTCTAAACTGATGTCCCACTTTGATATTCTACCTAATCCTCCTTCCCCTGATATCCGATTGCTTCCCTGCTGATATGGCTTTTAAAGGCATATACTGTTCCTCATTTCCCCCAATGTTTCCCTTTTTTGTGCCTTTCCACAAACCCTCTCTCTCTCTCCTTCCCAACTACAAAATCCCTCTCCAAGACATTCTTTCAACCACCTCATTTTTGTTCAATTCATTGGATTCTTGTTTTATACATAATCTTCACCCTGCCCTTGTGCATTTTTCTTGTATTTGTTGAATCAATTTGCGATAATAAATTAATAAATCAAAAAGTGAATTATAGTTCTTTAGTGTTTCGAAATCTGCATTTTCAGATGAATGATAGTTTTTTCGTCGTCGTAATTAAAGTTATGTGAATTTACAAGTTATGCAGAACAGAGTGTTGTCATTCAACGTTTCAGATTTAGCTTAATTTTATACGCCTTTTCTTGGTATATTCTCAAATAATAACAATGACTTTAAAACTACCTTGTAAAAGAGCGACTTACAGTTTTCGACTGTTTCGAAATATTAACATGAAGTTAGTTTGCTTCAGCCGTCATTCATAACTGAGTATGATCATTCACAGTTTTAGAATTATCTTAACTTCACAACACTCTTTTGAAACATTACCAACTGAATCGAAAGTACTATGGTCCATAGATCCAAAGTCTAATGAGCTATCCTATAACTGGTAAAAATATAGATTTACATCATTTCGATCACTCTCAATAAAACTCAATCAAAACCTCAATTTTCGTGAACGTCATGAAACTGAAATTACACTTATGCCTTGTGCCCTACGTTTGGAATATCAGTGTAGTTCTTAATGCAAGTTTGAATCTTAATCAGCGTTTTTTTTTTGTTTTTAGAACGATGTGTATCGTTTTGAAAACCATGGTATCCAATCAAGTTGTTGTTTTTGTTCGAATGATAAAAACATGTTGAAACACAAAATTTGATAAATCGGATACTTCAAGTTTTTCATAAGACATGTCTTCAGATAAATGACACTAATGAAAAATCCTTTATGATAACGATGAAAAAGGCTGCTAACGTGAAACCTGTAATAGAAGGGCCTCATCCTGTCATGTTTGAGCTCAATTATCTCAATTCATATGCAAGATATCAAAAATCTGTCAACTAAGACAATGTTGAAGATATTATGATAAACAATTTACCAGTTGACAACTTTTTGATATCTTAAACAGGAACCCAGATAAACTGGCTCAAAGTGAAAAGTTAGGTGGCCCTTCTACTAAAAGTTTACACTGGTTTGGATAACGAAATACTGTTTCAGTGTGTCTGATTTAAGATTATGAGTTAGAGGGATCTAATTTCATCGGTTTACTCTCTTTAAAAAAAGGAATGAAAGGCCATGTGATAGAATGTTATTATCAGAGTTCCACAATTATGATACAAATCTGAATTAACTTTATCGGCTGTTTTTTTTCAGTTTTTTGGTCTTTCTCGATTTCCGAAGAAGAAAAAGACAAGCGAAACATAAATCAAGGGGAAATTTAGGAAACCCTATTATTTTTTGGCCTCTCTTTCCTTCTCTTCACCTCAAACCCGACCAAAAGAAGAATAAGGGGAAAAATGAGGAAAGTAGAAGAGAGATGGAAGACAGAAATGTTTGTTGTTCGTTTTCTCTATGTGTGATGTACTGCTGCGGTGCTGATGACGCACTTCTAGTTACACATTTGGGTATGAATAATTCGAAATTTAGGAAAATGAAGATTTGCATTTTTTTCGGTATTTGAGATTTGCAAAAAAGTTTTCTTGTCGAATATCATTTAAAAAATTTTCTTAAGGATGAAAACATTTTGAAACACAAAAACATTATTATGTTCCATCGAGTTTTCTTGAAGATTTTAAGTTTTCGAAGTTCCAATTATTCTCCTGATTTTGTTTCGCGCAGCTCATCTACAAATTCTACATTTTCAATGGTAATTTTTTATAGACCTCACTTCAAAATTCAATACTCCTTATCAATTCAATTTTTCCTGTCATTCTTATCTTATCAATCCCATCAAAAGCCTCCAGTAGCTCAATTTTTTTTCATTCCATCAAAGAAGAAATTCAAATTGAAGCAAGAGTCCAAAAAAAGCAAGAAGGAGAAAAAAAGATAGGAATACATAAAAGTCATCGTTATTCTCCTTCTTTGTTTTCTAGTTCTTTTCGGTTGAATTTTCAGTTTCAAGTAAAAAACTTGAAGTCACTTTAAGTTCCAGATGAGTTTAAATGGTAGTAAAAAAAGTTTTCACAAATTCTTGAACTTGTGTTAAAAATGATAGAAAACTCTCAAAAATCAATGTTATGTGAATGAATTTTATGATTGGAGCACCATTAATTTCATGAAACAATGAGAATAATAACTTCATGAAACAGAAAATTGATTTCATTTTAAAGTTCCAAGATTTGGATACTGGAAACATTGTTTTGGACCATGATTGATCGCTTTGGTGAAACGGGGAATCTAAATCATTCAAAATTTGGTTCTAGTTTCATTGAAATCATATCAGAAGCTTCTCAGAAAAATGATCAGTAAGACCTTGTTTGTCACTTAACTTACACGAATCAAAAACTAACAAATTCAAGTAATTTTCGAATACCGAAGTACTGTTTCAGTGTGTTCTTATGTTCCAAGAAAGCTCCAACAATCTGATATGACTGATAATCTGGAGGTTTGGTAACAATTTTCTTTGAGGTTCCGTAAAACCTGTAAATGGTGGCCCTCCGAACTTTAAACTTTGAGTCAATTTATATCGGTTCCTGTGAAAAGTATCAGTAGTGTTTTAACTGACAAAACACTTCTGATTCTATGACAAACAATTTAGAAGTTGATTACTTATTGATATCGTTTACAGGAACCAAGTTAAGTTGTCTCAAAGATAAAAGTTAGGGGATCCTTTTATTGAAAGTTTCACAATGTTTTGGATACCGAATCACTGTTTCAGCGTGTTCTCATCTTTCGAAAAAGTTCCAAGATTCTGATTTGGTTATAATATACATACATTTTTGTTTTTCTACAGCGTAACTCACTGGGTCGCCAGTTCTTTTTCGAAACTTCCAAAAGTTCCGATATGCAGAATATATTCTTTAGACCAATTTAAAAATGTCCCCCAATATTCCCTATCGTTAACATAATTTAAACATAATGACTCATTTTTTGTTCCTGTCATTAATGCAATAAATGACATATCACTTGGGTTCAAGCGAGGGGGTCAGAAAAAGCGCCCCAGCAAACTCGTAGGCCAGAAGAAATTTAACAATTTCGAAGTGAACGCGGGTATGAACTAGATCATGATATGTTTCTTAAAAATCAACCGGTTGCAACGCGCGTATTTTCGCTCATCGTTTAAAACTGATCGCTTGAACCCAAGTGCATATGTTACAAATATACAAAAAGCGATTTTGTCGGTTTCATCACATTTTCAACATTCGCTAATTTCCATTTTCTATGATTCGATAAATGAACAAACTTCAACCCTTCTTACTGTTACCTCTATTAGAAATTCTCGTTTCTTCGATTTTTCATGATTGGTCTTTATCAAATCGCATCCAGAACCTTCAACCCCTTTTCCCCATTTGTTATGGGATAAAAATTATGGCCTTTTTAATTTTATTCGAACTTTTGCTGTTTCTAATTCTTCATAACATTTTACACCTTATTGGACTACCTGATTTCACATCTCCCCTTCGAGCTTTAATCTCCAAAAAGAAATCATTTTGACTAGAACTATTAACCTTCTTAAAGGTAATCTCATGAAATTCAGATCTTGGCTAGCTGAAGGTATTTTTTCAATCCTTCTTAATTCTATACCTAATGTTCCTGTTTCCGATTTCTCATATTTCTCATATTTTCTTCAATTCACCGTACGTATAAAATTTTGAAATCAAAAGAAACACCATTATAACTGACAATATTAACCTTCCTACAGGTAAATTCAATTTTGTTTTAAGTTTTAATTTGAACTCGAATCGATTATAATTTAATGTGAAATTTCAGTAAACACTTTCTCGATTTCATCCCATTTTCAAAACTCGTCGACTTCCATTTTTTATGATGGGATGAACTAAAATTTACCCTTCTTTCTATTACTTCTATTTGAAATAATCCTTAATTCGATTTTTCATGATTGGTCTTTATCACATCAAACCCAGAATCTTCATTCCCATTTCCCCATTTTATGGGAGCTCATAAACGTAATGGATAGATGAAATAGTTCTTTTTTGAACTTTTTGATCATATTTCCATTTTCCCTGATTCAAATTCTTCATAATGTTTTTTTTTCCAATTCATCACAAAACCTTATCAAACACGTATATTATTCCAAAAAAAATCATTATGGCGCTTTTAACCTTCATAAATATACTCTCATTAAACTTTAATATTGGCTAGCTGGAGGAATTTGCCTCTATCCTTCTTACTATTAATCCTATTTCAAAAATTTCCCGTTTCTAATTCTTCATAATACTTGTTACCTTATTAGACGACTAGTAGTTTTATACCAACACTACTAATATTCATACTTGCAAAATCAGGGCCTGTCCCGCGGGCCGGGCCGTGCTAAGCCGAAGATTTCCAGGACCCGGCCCGGCGGGCCCGGGTACTCCAAATTTAAAAAAATTTTGAAATTTCAGAAATTTTTTCAAATTTTTTTGTGAAAGAACTATTTTTTATGGACAACCTTATCTTGAAAATTTTTTTCTTGTCAGAAAAATCCCGGTACAGGCCATGAAAATTCTGAAAAAAACCCAGCCCGTTGCAAGTATGCTAATATTATGATAAGCAATTTTTCAGTTGACAGCTTTTTCACATCTTCAACATGAATCGAGATGGATTAGCTTGAGGTTAAAAGTTAGAGCCCTTTTATCACAGGTTTACGGTAACTTCTTGTGAATCCTTCCCATTCCTCATTTGTTATGAGACCTCGTAAACATTATTGACTAGCATGAGGTACTCCCTTCTAACGTTCTTAATCCTATTTCAAAATTTCCCGTTTCTAATTCTTCACACTATGTTTTATCTTATTATACAATTAATGACTTTGTTATGAGAAGATACTCATTAAATACAAACAGAAAATTTTTCGTCAGTTTCATCACATTTCTAAAAATCGTCAATTTCATCTTTCTATGATCATTATCGATTCCATTATTATGATTTGCATTATCGATTCCATTATCATATCCAAAACCTCCATTCCCATTTCCCCCCCCCCCCCCTTGTCCTCATAAAGTTTATTGATTAAAACATCTTTATGACTATCACTATCTATCTTCTTAAATGTAATCTCATAAAATTTTAGGATTAGCTAGCTGGGGGAATTTGCTCCTACAACTTTTCAAAATCCTATTTAAAAATTTCCAGTTTCTAATTCTTCATAATAACTTCTTGGGTTATTGGATGACTAGTCTTTCCTTGTATTTATTAAGACCATTAATCTTCCCAGAGTTACTCTCATTCAAGCTCAGATCAACCGTACACTGTCAATTTTGATCTCAATTATCTCATTTCCTAAATAAGATATCAAAAACAAGTTAACTGATAAAACATTGCGGATATTATGATAAACAAGTTATCAGTTGACAATTTTCGATATCTTTCACAGGATCCGAGAAAAATTGGCTCAAAGTTAAGGTTAGAGAGTCCTTCTTTAAGATGTTTGAGTATTCATCACAAACTGCAGACTTGTATTAGTAACCTTCCCAAAAGCACTCGTATTGATACTGTTCCAGTACGGCCCTCTCCGTCCCAAACGACACACACACACATTCAATATGTCCGCATCGGTCAGTCCTCCACACCAACGAAGCGCTGTGCTGTGCGTATCAATGTCTGCGTCTCTTTCAATCCCGTATACATCTTCAGGTCTCTCTGCCTGCATCTCCAGTCGCCTCACTTTTTCTCTCCTACACCCCACATTTTCCCCACTTTCCACTTCCCCTTTTTCTTATGTCATGATAGTATGCGCTTTTTGGGTCCATCATAACTCGGCGAGTTTTTTGAATTGAGCTTTGAAAAATACACCGTTGGATTTGTCTTGAAATTTTGAACCGGATGGCATAAAGTTTGAAACTGAATTCAAAGTTTGAAATTTGAGATTTTAGGATCTGGAAATCTGAAATTTTTTTGATTTTCAGAAATCTTTTTATGGATTAGTCTTTGGTCTAGTTAGGTGAGGGTTTTGACAAAATTTGAGTATCGAGTTCGAAATTTGAGTAGAGTTATAGCAGTTTTTTTTTTTACGAATAAGATTTTTTAATGCTCAATTTGAAGTCACCAAGAGAACAACATTTCCGTAAGTGTAGTTTTTTTTTATAATTTCTGTTTCCTGTAACTCATTTACTGTCTGAATAATAATCTGATGCGTTCAATATACGTCGATGTCTTGAAATAGTACATTTTTTTCTGTTTCGCACTTTGGAGTTTCATTTTGGCATCCGAAGGTATGTTTGAACCGAATATCGTTAAACCTGTATTAGAAGGGCCCCCTAGTCTATATAACTTTGCGCCAATGTTTCTCGGTTCCTGTCAGCGGATAAAGTGGAGTTAAGATAATTGAGCACAAAGTTGAGAGTGTGGAGCCCTTCTATTACAGGTTTTACTGTATTCTCAGTTCTCCGTTTTTTAATCATATTCATTAATCATATTCGTTTTTGACATCACATTCGAACCGTCTTCAAATCCTCATAAAATCATCAACATAACTAGATGAAACAGAGAAACTTTAATATGACATTACAAAATTAGTTTTTTCGATATTTTCTTAACAAAAGTCCGACGAAGAGTGAGCCAGTAGGAAAAATTTATCTGGCGTGTCGCACTGCTACCAACTGAGCTACCACCTTAATATACAAATGTTTTTTTTTATTTCCTGTTTCTACATAGTATATCATATTTAGAAAACAGTAATTATACTCATCAATTCCTGAACTGGCTACACAACCGTGACAAACCCTACTAGGCTATACCTCATTTCTTTCAAATACTACAACGTCTGTTTCACATCAAACTAAAATATAGGACTACAATGTTCATCTTGTGAAAGTATCATGAGATTCTAGAACAATTTTTAATTACCATTTCCTACTTTTGACAACTAAGTGATTATTGTATTGAAGATAGTGAATTGTAAAAGATATCACATCTCAAATTGTTTCCTCTCCAATTTTGCATAATCTCTCGAAGAAGTGAACTAGTGGACTAATTACTATGAATACCGCGACGCTTCCGGCTGAGCTACGCTTTTTGATTCTCTCAAAATTTCCATACCATTTTCCTCTTTCAACAATTTGTAATCCATAATTTTTTTCTGTTCCAAAAAGTTAATTTCTGCGAAAGAATTGTGGCTTTGTCACTATTCATGGTCTACTTCGTCTATCCCACTGTTAATATTTCCTTTGACCCTCCTAATTTTTTTTCCAAATTTTCAGAACTATGATCCATCGTCGATCACTCTTCCAAGCAACACCTCACCTTATCAAGGGGCGGCTAAAAGAAACACAATCCAGTAGCAAAATTGATAATGAAGGTAAATAACTATTTGTAACTAGCCTAAATTAATATACCTATTTTCAGAAGCTCCGGCTGTGTTGTCTACTATAGCTGCAGAATCCTTGGACTCGTCAGAGCAACCTGGACCATCGTCAAGACCCCTGGAACTTTCAGTCACATCGTCTGGCTACTCAAGTCCACAAGATACGCAAACCGAATCTTCTAGATCACCATCTCAAGTTTCTGACGGAAGATTTGGAGCAGATGAGCTCATGGAAACTGATCAGGATGAAGTAGAAGAAGATTCTGGAAAAATGCGGAAGAAGAAAACCAGAAAGTCGAGGACTTCATTGGGAAATCAGAGAAGAAGTCGAAGACAGCCAGCAGATCTGAAGGCAGCGGGAACCCAGGAAAAACAAAGTGGAAACGAAGGTAATTTACTAGGCCTAATTAATCTAAATTAATTGATCCATTTTCAGATGATCGGGCTCCTCCAGTATCCTGCAACGGGACTTCAGTTCGGTTGTCTGCTGTAGCTGCGAAACTCTCTACATTTTCATCAAAACCTGAACCATCGTCGGGACTTCCAGGCACATCTTCTGGATCACAATCGCAAGCTCCTGAAGGTCTATCGTCAAGTTTTGAACAAATGGAAACCAGCCAGGGTGAAGTATCAGAAGCTTCTGGAAAAGTTCAGAAAAATGAGAGCAAGAAGTCGAAGACGTCAGTGGAAAATCCCAGAAGAAGCAGAAGACAACAAGCAGATCTGGAGGGAAAAGGGATCCAGGAAAAGCAGATTGATGAAAAAGAGATGGAAGATGCTGCTCCGATTAAATTGGGTTAGTTTTTTTTGTGGCCTAACTTTTGAGCTTTGTGGCCACTCTTAAAGTGGGCGGAGCATCGAAGTAACTCATTCAGGTAGTCAAACGTGAATTGTCTCTTTGTGATAGTGATTAAATTTCATAGTTTTTTGAAACAGAATAATTTTTTACAAAACTCACAGTTTGCTTTTTTTGGATTTTTCGAACAATTAGAAGATAATATTGAATTGATTTTTGTATGATGGCGTCTTAATTCAATTTTTCAAAAATAGTGAATTTCAAAAGTACCGTAATACTGATACGAAGCAAACGTCATTAAAAACCACCCTCCCCTTTTAAAGCTTCTTCAAAACTGAAATTTTTTAGATTTCGGTGTCATCCCACCAATTGGACTGCAACGAAAATGGTTTGATATGAGAGAAGTGAGCTCAAGGAAGAGCCGAGAAATCGACAATCTCAACAAGACCGATCGTGTAGGATTCCGTCCATATTTGATGGCCGATGAGCAAAAAGACGCCAGAATTGGCCCAGGATTCCAAGTAGAGATTCCCGATGAACCAACTCACAGCTTCGGACAAGAGGAAGATTTGAACCGAGAAGAAGCATTCTGGATTCCCGAAACAGTCGAATATGCTCCCAAAGAAGTTCTCGAAGCGGATCAGATTCGAAACGTCTACTGGACAGCCATCTGGCAGCAGTGGAAAGGGCACATTCCTTTTGAGATAGCCTTGAAACATTTGATGGAGTGTAAATATAATACTGCAACAGCTCTGGACTCGATCGACCAAACATTGAAGGGGCTGCCACAGGAGATGAGGCCGGTTGGAATGGCTCAAGCCAGATCGTTATTGGATATGCACAAGGCAACAAAGAAGACCGATAAGAGGAAGAGGAACCTGAGGGAGATTCAGCAGTATTTGGTAAGTCAAGAATTTTGGCATTTGTCGGGGATTTCGGATTTTTTTCGAAATTTTTAATATTGGGAAAATACACAACTTTTCGAACATTTTAATGCAAAAAAAAAATTTTTTTCGGAGTCCCCCTTTAAATTGAAAACAGTAAAAAACTTTCGATTTGAGCTCAATTTTCTCAATTTCTGTGAGATATATCCAAAAATTGTTAACTGATGAAATTTTTATGGAATTATGACAATCATTTTGACAGTTGACAGGTTCCTGATATCTTTTATAGGAATCGAGATAATTGAGCTCAAAGTGCGAGCAGCAAATCCGTCTGACGACCATGACGGTCGACAACTTTGTTGGGGTTTTTGGTTGGGTGATCTTGGAAAGTTTGGATGAGCTCAATTTCAAAATAAAAAAGATTTAGGCCGCGGCCGGCCGCGGACCTCTTTTCGATAGACTTGCCAACGATAAATGCTTGAAACATTTATGTTGATCTCAGTAGTAAAATCTTTCTTATATATAAAACGCTTGACGCGTCTGTCCGTCCCGGTGTCCGTCTGTCGACTTTTAGATTTTTAAATAAGAGTTTGGCCGCAGCCAAAACTGAACCCGCGAACTCTCGCACAACAACTGCGCACGCACACAGTTGCGCCACGAAGGGCACATAGAGAGGGGAGGGAGGGCGTAGAGGTTCTACCTCGAATTGAGAGTTTGGTGTGACCGTCACTGCACGCCAATGCAAATCATAGTGGTTGACGCGCGCCCGCTTTTTGTCGGCTGCTGTATTTCATCATACACCGCGCCTTCGCCACTTCGGTTATCATTCTGAACTAATGGTGCCCAAGGAGGTAGCTAACCAAGTGAATTCCTTTCACAAAGGGTGTGGTCATACGGAACGGGAGATAGGAAGTGGGGCGAAAAAGCCGGTATTGCGCGTTGAGAGTTCGAGCCCGGCAGGAAGCTTTTTTCGAATTTTGAACACGGTTCAGAAATGAGTGAGGATGTATGCGAATGATTTTCTGAAAATGTTTCTCTTCTTGAATGAAATTGTAAAACAGAGTATCCTGTTTCTCGAGTTTTATTAGTTTCAAGTCGAGTTAAAAGTTGATTAAACTTCAAATCTTTTGTTTTCGTTTTTGTTTGGAGTCACTAAAAAACCTGGAAGAAAGTTTGATTTAAAAAATCAAAACATTTTAAGTTTTTTTTTTTTCTGGAGAGAAAACGCATAACTTTTTTCGATAAGGGCCGAAAGTCATATAACTAGGGACAAAGCTGAAAATAGTTGGTAAAAAGGAAAATATGGTTCTAAAATTTACTATTAGTGTAAGCGACAAAACCCGATGTTTCAGAAATTTTCTGCATTTTTGCATAGTGGTTTTTGCACATCACATTAGTATGCGGCAAACAGGCTGGTGAGTTCATAAAAATAGTTTCAACTTAAAACATCAAAATAGTTTCCTCTGAAAATATTGATGGTGTTGCGTATTTCAAAATTTTTTCAAAATTTTTAATTCTCGAAGGAATAAACAAAAATGGTCCAAATTTCTGTTATTCGTCACAGAAAATACTAAACTACTGATAAATGTCATAATCGATGTTTTTGTTCAGAAATGCTGTATTTCAACGCAATCATGAAAAATATGGGGATTTTTCACATAACTCGAACGGTTCGAGTTCTGGGATTTTGGAAAAGCATGGGGGGGGTGTAGGGATTCAAGAAGGGTCGTGATAAAGCAAAATGAATATTAGGAAATTATCGTTGGACTTGTTGTTTTCCATAAAACGGATCCTTCGAGCTTGAAGATAATTGTTTTCCATAGGAGCTCTATGTTGGCTGAAAAACTAGTTGAAAATTCTGAATCGTATTGGAAGGGTTGAAGTAAAAAAACATTTTTATTCGAAACTTAATATTGTCACATACAGTACTTTAGGATGAAATTGGTTGAGATGGTGGAAAAATGTTGTTCAAAAGCTATAAAAGATTCCACTTGGTGTTTTGAAAAACTGGCAACACTGATTTTTAATGATTTACCGTCGAAGAAAACTGAGTTTTTATTTCAAAATCTTTAGTTGAATTAGTTTTTGAAACAGGAAAAATATTTCAGATGTCGCGCGGCCTTATATCGAAAATCCATAAACTATAATAATGTTGGTCATATGATGACAATCAATTCATCAGTTTACAAAATCTTGATATCTCTTTTAAAAATCGATATCATAGAGCTTAAAGCGCAAGCTACGCAATCGCAAATTCGACCAACCACCGATAACGTTATTAATCAATTTTCAGATCAAAAACTACCATCTCGGCGAGATTCAAAATTTCCGGTACCAGCTTTCCCGATTCTATTATTACCAGCCGACACATGGAGTCCCTTGTAATTGCCGGGATCGAACTTGCACCGATTATCAGTTCGAGCCGCGTGTTGGATGCACCAACTGCAACCGTCATCACCGTCCACATCTTCCAGCGGATTGCGAGAAGTTGTGCTTGATTTGTAAGATGTATTTGCAACTGAAAAATAAAATGAGACCAGCTGAACAAGTAGTCTTCAACAGTTCGGAACTGGAGTTTTTGGAAGTTTGGAATCAAAAGGAGACGGAAATGGGGGGACGATTGACGAGAGACGATGTGGAACAGCTCATCAGAATGGAAACTTGGAGAAGATGGGCGGACGAAGACCTGACTGATGAAGAAGAGGCAATGTTGAATTTGTCGAAACTGGTCATTCGAAATCGAGCAAAGTCGGGCAAACACACGGAAGAAGAGAAGAGGATCAAAGGGTCACGGATTGTGCATCAGCTAAGGCCTCTGATCCTTCCGCTGTTCACAAAATGCTGCTGTATGAGATCGGGAAGTATTCCACATGGATCTGTGAATCGGGACAAGTGGAGTTTTTCGGAGAAGGAGGTGGAGAAGTATCGAGATTTGGTTTCCAACTTCGAAGGAGATCAATTTCAAATTTCGAGACTTTTGAAAGTTGAGCCGGAGCTGGTCGAGAGATTTGTTAAAAAGTATCCAGAGAATTACGAGATATGGAAGGTGAGCGGTCATTCTTTTGGGCTTGGGTGGGCGAACGTCGTGAAATCCTAGAAATCCTTTTTTTCAGGAAAAGCAGTTCTTCCCATTGAATCCACGCGAGATTTTCCAACCTCACAATTTGGCACCCATCATACCATCATTTGTTTATGACGATACAGAAGATGGAGATGGAGAACCATCATCGAAGAAAGCTAAAAAAGCAAAGAAGGCTAGAAAAGTCTAGATTCAAATTTTTCTTATCCGTTTCATAATGTTCTAATCACTTTCTTCTCAATTTTGTAGCTTTGTTTCGTACCTTTTTAATACTTGTCATTTTTATACCCTGTAGGTTCTTGAAAACCTCCTTTGTCAGTAATTACCACTTTTTTCTTCTTCAGGAAGCCCCGCTGAATTTCTCTCACTTTCCGAAGCTTGTAATTTTTCAGAATCCCCATGATTTTTTCCGTTTTATATATGTACTGTACTGTTTTGTTAATTTTTCACTACTTCAAATTGTAGGCACGATTCTCACCGCCTAGTTTTTCACCTCGAAATTGCATATTCATCGTTTGAATCGCTAGAAATCATGGTCTATAAAATTTTTAGTCTCATTTTGTTTTCTATTTTTTTATAGTTTCAGTTGGTCATTATTTCCTGCAAAATGATATATCGGCAATACTTCAATGAGAGTTTTTGAAAAATTCGAAGATTTTTTTTGATGCATAATTTTCAGAAACGACAGTAGCTGTGAGTTCGTTAACCCTCCTAATTTTCTTGGGCAGGCGCTTCACCGTTTTTGCTTTGTAAGTGATTTGTTTTCTTTGGATGTCAAAAATTACAATAGCTGTAAAGCCGAAATTCTCTGTAAACCAGTCAAATTTCGTTTGAAAACCTTTCAGCCGTTTATGTTCATGTCAGTTTATGCCAGTGTTCCGTTTTCTGTGGACACATCGTTTTTCCAAACTTTGTTTCAAAGAACTAATATTTCAGAATAAACGAAACTGTCATCGTTTTTTTTTTTGAAAAATTTGAAAAATTAATTTTGAAAAATGAATCATAGATTTACAACGAGAAACAGAAGTACAGTTTTGAGAAAGTGTGAGAAAACAGAAATCCGTTGAGCCGTTGTTGATCCGTCAATGGTCCGTTTTCTTTACACATCAGAAGATAGAGTAGCTGTAAACCCGAATTTCTACGTTAACTCTTCTAATTTCTTTGTTCAACCGTCAACGCTTTTGATCCGCCAATTGTTCGTTTTCTGTAGACACATCGTTTTTCCAATCTTTGTTTCAAAGAATTACTGTTTCAAATTTAGAATAACCGTTGTAGTCATTTGAAAAAGTGATAGTGCTTCAAGAATATATGGAAAGTCAGAAATACAATCTGAAATTGATAAAGATGAATTGAAAGTAGAAAAAAAATTTCATTCGAATTTTTGGAAATCTTTAATAAAAAATGATAAAAATCTACATATTATGCTTCAGACTTGCTAAGATCCCCATTTTTTAAGGTAGATAAAATCTCTCTGTTTAGACGAATTTTAGTGGAAAAGTGGAACTTGTGGACCACCCAATCACCTTCAGTCAGACCTTGCCTGTTTTTTTATACAATTTAGTATACCAGTTTCCCAAAAATACATGTTCTGCTTTTCATATCCATCTGAACCTTTTAAAGGTGGGGGGGGGGACATGAAAAAAATAATGTTCTCGAAATTCCGTTCAAAGATGCCTCTTTAACGCGTAGACTTCAATTAAAGGTTCAGTGAAATCAAACAACATATTCATCTGTTTCAACGTATTCATTAGGCCAACATCTCTAATTACCCTAACTCAACCTTATTATTTCATCTATCACCTTCTATCTCTTTGTTTTTTCAAAACAATTCCGTGATTCCATTATCAACTTTTTATATCACTTTTCCTCGTCCATCTTTATGCCAAAATTCTGAACAATTATTTTTTGCAGATGCCAAATCTTTGGAGAACCGAGGAAACATCAGGGCAAAACCCTTCGGCAAGTTTTTCATCAAATAAAATAATAAAATTGAAACTATAGAACATCTTGAAAATCAAAAAGAAGACGTTGAAACGTTTTTTTTTATTTTCGAATTTCAGAATGATCCTTCAAGTCCAGAACCTCCTGATCCAGAAAGTTCAGCTTCTATGAACTTCGACAATAATGAAACACCAGGAACATTCAATCCCACTGAAATAAAGACTTCTCAAAAACCATCGGCTAGTTTTTAAAAACTAAATTTTGCATCTTTGAATAACTTTTTCAGATTCCAAAAAATAAAAAAGAATGGAGAGAAAATCAAAAAAAAGTTTTGGAACATTTCGAAAAGGAACAATTTGTGGGGACTACACGAGCGTATCAGTTGGCAAATGACTTTGGAAAAACCCCAGATACTGTCGGTTTTAATTTTTTTTTTTTCTTCATTCCAAAATTTACTAATTTTTCAGATTTATGGTTATTTCTTTCATAAAAGGAAAGAAGTTATTAAGAGATATTTGGCAGGCAAAATTTCGTTTGAAAATTTGCCAAGCCAGATTAAAATTTTGGAAGGCGAATATCAAAAAAACTCACGACTGCAGTCCCAACAACAAGTTAATGCATTGTGCATAGCGGCAGGAGTGGGAAGAGACGCCGTGAGTTGATAAAGAGACATTAGATAGGGATTTAAAAATGCCAGTTTCAGATTTTCCGATATTTCCGTTCGAGAGAAAAGATGGATAAGGATATAAAGGCTGCAAAGTCAGTAAAAGCTCCATCGAATTATCGCTATGCTCCTAGGTTAGTACCAGCAACTGAAAGGGCAGCTACTCAATCTCTATCGCATGAATTCCGTCAAGACACAGAACCAGAAATCAGAGATCTAGCTCCACCAGTGCCAGTTACTGAAGTGGTTCACAGTCAACAATCCCATGTATCTCAGAAACAGGAAGGCCTGGTTGATGCGCCAACTCGAGATGATCAAGCTCTATCAACTCTATCGAACGTTGTTATTGATGAGTATTTGGCAAGCAAAACTTCATTTGAAAGTAATTTTGGAACAAACAAAAAGAAAGTGGGTTTAGGCTCTCATTTGTCTTCATTCCAGAACTTACTTATTTTTCAGATTCTTAAATTATTCTATAAGAATAGGAAAGCTGTTATGGATGCGCATTTGGCGGGCGTAATTTTGTTTGAAAATTTGCCTTGTGAAATCAAGATTCTAGAGACGGAGTTTCAAAAATGTTCGAATCTAACAACGCACGTTCAAATTGAGAGGTTCGCAGAGTCAGGACTGGAAGAGAATGTTGTGAGTTGATAAAATGAAATCGGAAGGGTTGAAAGATGCTAGTTTCAGATTTTCGAGTATTTCAATATGAGAAGAAAGATGAATGCGAAGACGGAAAAGTCAGGAGATACTTCAGAAGGTCCTTCAGAAGCTGTCGACTCCCCAAAACTCGAGAGTCCAACTCAACCAGCTCCATCGACTCGTCCTAATGTTTTTATAGTTGCTCACGAGGATCCAGACCCACCAGTGTCAGCCACAGAAACTGTTCAATCTCCATTACTTCCAAATGGTCCAGACAATCAACAAGAACTCGAAGATCCAGTTCCAAACACTGAAATGGTTCATTATCAACAAACTCAAGGAGCTCAAAACCAAGAAGGGCTAGTGGAAGATGAGCAATATGAGATTCAAGAGGATGAGACGATTCCTTCCCATGGAGCACTACCAGATTGGGACTTCGTGTTCGCGCATATGCGGCAAAATCCAGAGGACCAAGCTCCAATATCACTACATGTTCAACCAACCAGATTTTTGAATCCGATACGAGAGTCTCACAATCAAAATGAGGGATTGGGCAAAGCGGAAGGAGTGGATGAAAAAGTGGTGAGTTGATACAATGAAATTGGAAAGGTTGGAAAATGCAATTTTCAGATTAGATTTTTCGAAGATTTCCATACGAGAAGAAAGATGACGCAGAAGATGAAGGAGGCAAAGTCAGGACTCGAGGGTCCAGCTCAACCAGTAACAGCTCAAGTTGGACAAAGTCCATGGCCAGAATCAGCTATTGAATCGGAAGCTACTCAACCTCTATTGCATGAACTCCATCAAGACATAAAGCAAGAAATCGGGGATCTAGCTCCACCAGTGCCAGTTGCTGAAGTGGTTCACAGTCATCAATCTCATGGAGCGCAAAACCTGGAAAACCTGATTGATGATGATCGTTATGAGACGGAAGAGGAAAAAACGATTCCTTCACACGGAGCATTGCTTCATTTGGACCTCCCGTCTCCGTATAATTTGCAAAAACTACTCAAACAAACCCAGGAAACTCTTGCGGTCTGTCATGCTAACGTTGCTGAGAAACAATCCGGAAAAATAGACTACACCACGTCTCCAATGGCTGAAGCACCAACGATTTCAGTCCCAGCTCTAAATTATCAAGCGGATCGTTCTCAACAAGATGCAAGATCTCAAGCGCGTCTTCTCGCTGACCTATCTCGTCAAATGACAGCCATACAACAGACCCTGGGAGCATATATGGCTGCCACTCCAAGAACCCATGTTCCCAACAAGCGGAAACGCTCACCATCTCTAGAAGTTGTTACTAATGGGCCATCAGTATCCCCTCCTGTTGCTAAGAGAGCCAATCATCAAGAAGCTGTCAGCTTTGATGGAGTCGAAGTCCAGAAAGCTCCGGAAGCTTTGAGAGGAGTCAATGAAATTGTGGCGCCAACACCAGAACGACAGGCCCAGCTGCGTCAGGAACGCCTGAATCTGTACAATGGAGAGTTCGAAGATACATACCTTCCTTTTAACCATTCAATAAACTATAAGAGTTGGACAGTGAGTTTTCTTATATTTGTTGCCTTTAATGTTTACATTTTTTTCCAGAGACAACAATTCGAAGAGTTTGCGGTTCAATTTTTGCCATTGGAAGTAGTAACGGCTCTTGTGAAAATGAAGGTCGACGGCTCAAAAATGGAAAAGATCAGATGTAATAACAAGCTACTGATGGGACGATTGCATGTTGGATCGAATGGGAAATTTTCTCTGGAGCATTGGAATTTGATTAAAAAATATATTGAGGACATTTGGACGTATAAGAGAGATAAGAAGAAGGAGGAGGAGTTGCGTATTGCCATCTGAATTTGTGTTTTTCCTGTTTCATATTTTCTGTAAATTTTGGTCAATTGTTTTTTCTTTGCTCAGATTTTCCTTGTTTAATGTTTTTGTTACTGTAGATTCGAGACACTTTCCCCGATTCTTATCACTGGAAAAGGCTTAAAAGTCCAAAAAGGCTAGAAAAGTCTAGATTCAGTTTTTTGTTTCCTGTTTCAAAATGTTCTAATCATTTTCTTTTTAATTTTGTAGCATTGATTCTCTTATTCTGTCATGTGCACTTTTTCGCTGTCCCTTTAGGTTCTTGAGAATCTCTTTCATTAGTTTTCTTCCTATTCAAGAAGAAGTCCCCCAAATTACTCTCAGTTTCCAAAACGTGTAATTTCAGAATCCTCATGGATTCCTAAACTTTTTTGTTTCCCTGTTCATTTTTTAAGAGTCCTGTCATTTGTTTTTTCAATTTTCACAATTTTAGTCACCCTTCTCACTGCCTAGTTTTTTGCATAGTTGCAAAATCTCGGGCCGGCCCGGGGTACGTACAGACGTTGATTTTTTGAATTTTTTTCAAACATTTAAACAAAAACGACCTATTTTTCGACTACTTTCTACTTTGTTAATTTTGTTAAATAATGTAACCTTTTTTCTTTTTTAATTCAAAAAAATTACCCGAACTTTCATTGGAAAAATTTCAACTGTCATACATAGGCGGACCGGGCCAAGATAATTTGTCTACCGGCCCGGCCCGGCCTTTTGCGACTGTATTTTTTTTTGCTAGAAATCATGAGTTTTAAACAGTAAAATGTTCTTGTCTCATTTTGTTTAGAGTTTTTTCACAGTTTCATTTGGTTTTCATTTTCAGAAAAATGATTTATCGGTAATCTTGAAAACATTCTTGGTCAACTGTTTTTGGTAACTCCATGGTCCTTTTTCTTTGAATGTCAGAAATGACAGTAGCGGAAAACCCAAAGTCCTGCCTTAATCCTTCTAATTCACCCTCCCCTCCCCCCTCCTTATTTTTTTTCTTCATTCTTTTATCCACGTTTTTGGGCAGCCGTTCAACCGTTTTTGGTCCGTCAATTGTCCGTTTTCTATGGTCACATCGCTTTTCTAAACGTTGTGTTAAAATTTGCTGTTTCAGAAATAGCAAATTTATTGCTGTTCTTTCAAAAAATAGTTCTTCGTTAACCCTTCCAATTTCTTTGGGGAGGCGTTCAATCTTTTTTGGTCCGTCAGTGGTCCGTTTTACTGAAAACATCGTTTTTCCAAACTGTGTCAAAAATTACTATTTCAAAATACGAAACTGTCTAGGTTACTTGAAAAAGTGATTGGTCGTTGCTTACATAGTGAAATCACAAATAATGTTTCAGGAATATGTGAAAAGGCAGAAATACAATTGGACACTGATTTCTGCATTGCGCACTGTATATTGCCCCCGCTAGAAATCATGAATTTCGGAAAGTAAAACTCTTATCTTTTTTGTTTCGTTTTTACATTTTCCGTTGGTTTTTATTTACAGCAAATGATTTATCGGCAATTGTTTTACTGCACAAAAACAAACTTTTTTTGAAAAAACCCGAATAATTTAGTCTTAAATTCATAATTTTCAAATTCGACAGTAACTGTAATCCCGAAATTCTGCATTAACCTTTCTAATTTTCTTGGGCAGCCTGTCAGGGGTTATTGGTCCGTCAGTGGTCCGTTTTCTATGGACACATCGTATTTTCAAACGTTGGGCAAACAATTACTGTTTCAGAATGGACAAAATTGTCATCGATATTTATGAAAGTGATTGATTATAGATTGACAATAAGTACTGGAAACACCGTTTAAGGATAGTGTGAAAATGCCAAAATGCAATTTGACACAGATAGAAACAGATAACGCGTTGGATAAAGCTATTTGAATTGTCTTTAACCTCTAAAAACTAGATGGTCTCCCACAGAACATTTCCGAACTGCAAATTAATTTTTGATCTACAGAAAAAAAGTTTGGCGCGATCATAATTGCAGGTCTAAAACCATAATTTCAGAATTTTTTATCTGATTTTGTGGAGTTCCAAGATGATTCAAATGATTCTTAAAAAATTAATTAGTGTTTATAGATTCATGTATGGTCTTTTTCAGGAAGAAAAAATGTCAAAAATGGACATTTTTGAAAGTTTTTTACAGAAAAAAGTCTATCTCCTCTTTCAGTTTTTGACATTTCTAAGAGTTTTATAACTCAAAAAAACCGCAATTATTTTCTCTACATTTTCTATGGACGAATTTTTAATTCGTCTGATAAAACTTTTTTTATAATCAAAAAACAACACAAAAATGCGATTTTGTGCTATTTCATGATGTTTTTG